CCACAGCTGAGAGAATTTACTTTGGAGCTTTAATTTTCCATATCCTTTTCCATGGCCAGGAGTATACAATACTTCCTGTTTGCCAAAACACATGGCAACCTTTAACAGTAAAAATTACCCCTGTAATTCTTATTCCATCAGATTCTATCCCTCCCTCCCTCTGTGCAAATTTCCTGTTCCAGTTTGTCTAAAGCCTTGTCAAGCAGCTGATTTCCCAATCTATGTTATTCAGGACAATATAAGTTAGTCAATACACACCAATGTTTTGCTAAATGATAAGGTATATTATCAAAGATGAATAAACACTAAGCTAGTGCATCAAAAAAGTAATTACAAGTTCTGCAATTTCCCCATCATGTCTAAGTCTAACATGGCATCTATAGCCTGTACTAGTTTGCACCAAAAAGCAAAAAGGTAAAACCTTAAACTTAAGACAGAATGTTTCTCTTGTTGCCTTCAAAAATTCTATTGTCCAATACACACCTAGAGTACACACAAGTATCCTGCATAAGCTTCTTCAATGCAAAAACCTTAAAATCTTCAGCTTTATACCTAGTCATAAACATATAGAGGTACAAAGTTCGAACACAGAAGCTAATTAAGGAAACTGCTTTTTGCAAAAAGAATACTCAGAAAACCAGCACTTCAACAGCTCGAACTTTAGTGTCAACGCCAATTGAGGCGGTAAGACAATATCCTCATCATAACAGCTGCGTTAGACTCTCATTGCTTCCATCAAAGGACAGTAGACTCTCAACATAGTTGCTCAAGAAGAATTATTTCTCCCATCATCGATATTGCTATCCTAAATTTATGTGGTTGATCATACAAATCAAGATTCCTGATATGCTACTTCAACAGACACTACCCATTACTCCTGATCCCAATAGCATTTGAAAGATCATGCTTCAAATCCACAAAAATTCTCAGTCGCACACTCCATTTTCCAAAAGCAGTTCAGCACCCAAACAGTAGAACATTGAGATTACCAAAATCATGACTCCTGTACCAAAACACAGCAACCCAATCATCTCATAAACAGACAAGTCCAAAAAGAGATTCACGCACTAGCTCATACAGGAACCGTCAATTCACTAGAAGTCTCTTAAATTACGAGCCAATAGCTTATTTAAAAACCCATCTCTATTACCATAACACAATCCAATTAATAGCCTCATCTAACTACCAGTCCCTCTATTCCATTTTATGGGTACTATTACCATGTGACGAGTCAAAGAGGTTCTTCTTTGAACTCGATTTTCTAAAATATTTTAATTATTAACTATTGTTACTCATACTATTTTTTATGAAATTTTATGTAAATTTTATTTCAAAAAATTTGAAGAATCTATGTTTGAATTCACATAGAATATTAAGTAATTTGACCATCATACTATGAACCCGCCAAATAAAATGGAAAGGAGGGAGTATTATCAACCAGTATATCATGGATATCTCTTAAACTCATTGTTTCTACAAACCGTTACCACAAGCAAAGCCGCAGAAGAGCAATAAGTGATTACAGGGTCTTTAAGCTCAAAACACAATTAAAGTGTGGCTTAATGAAGAAAGACAAAGATCAAGAAAAAAAATTAAAAAAATATATATAATCAATATGTTATGAAAAAGAATAACTATAAATGAAACAATAATTATTTGTATCAAAGAACTCAAAACTAAAATTGAATAGGATGTATGAAGTAAAAACCATGTCATTCAAGTTCAAAAATCATTCTAACTTGATCTACATGCAAGACTTTAATTCAGAGTTGTGACTAAATTTCTTTCAATAAATTTCTAATCCTATTGTTGATCACTAGTCTGTTTATCCGATAAGTACTTTTGTCATCTATTTTTGTTATTTAGTGTTGTCCTTTTAACAATAGAGATTGTTCACATTGAGATCTTCATGGTGCCTTCAGGGGCGGGTGCAACTCTTTATAACCGGGTTCAATTGAACCAGTACTTTCGATATCGTGTATAAATTGATGGGTAAAAATTCATCAAAATTGTAATAAATAGTAGATATGAACCCATAGCTTCAATAATACAATGAGTTCAATACTAAAAACCTTAACGTTGAACTCATAGACAGTAAATCCTAGATTCGCCTCTTGGTGCCTTCACTAAACCATAGTAACAACAACAACAACAAACTCAATGTAATCCCATAAGTGGGGTCTGGGTCACTAAACCATACTAAGGAGGCAAAACATCTAAGTAGTGTTGCACCGAACTTCAGGGAAATGCACACTTTTAACAACATTGTAAAAACCTATCTCAACAGTTCCTTGCAGACAAGTTGTCCTCTCCACCTTACGGTCATAGTTGGATAGACTTGATAATATACTCTTTTATAGGCTAACTACAAAGCCCCCGTTTGCGGTTAAGGCTAGCAATGTTTGCCTTTCATGCGGTTTCAAATATTAACATTACCTCCTTTCATTTTTTTCTACACAAAAATCCATGTAAATCAACTAGCGAGACAAGGCACGACATAGATAGTAGACAGTCAACTCTCTTACAGCCAGTTACTACGATTGATTGGGGAGAGAGAGCTAGTCTAATTGCCGGTACGGGTATGCTAATAGGTAGAGGATCTTCTAATCCTAGAATAAGAAAGTAGCTTGTCTGTCGTACTGGCTGGTTCATTGGATGTATCAATCTGCTATCTATAACCTGTTGGGTTAAATATTTTTTGTTGCTAAATGTTACGGCCTAAATGCTGAAATATTGACCCTACTTGTTCGGATGGGTGTTCACTCCAAAGTGTTCCCGGACAACATGCATATATCCATAAGTAACTTAGCGCAACATAGAAAACTTCATTAAGAGGATTTAGCGAAGAAAAGAAAAATGTGTCAACAACATCAACATGTGTATTTGAGAGATTGTCCTCCGTCTGAGAAGTGTCCACATGAGTTCATTGAGGTGAAACTAGCAGGCAAGAATAAAAATTGTTCTTGTGTTTAAGCATGTACATATCATGTTAGATATTTTTGTTTAATCCGAGAAACTAGGATTTATATACTGTTAGGGAAGAGGTAATTTTTCAGGATTTATATACTGTTAGGGAAGAGGTAATTTTTCATCAAGAAAATAGTAAAAGTATATAATTTTATTATTTATTAAACACGAACAAGATCCAATATGTTTAATAACCATAAAAAATATCGTTGGTTTTTTTATTTAGGGGGGGG